CCGCCGCCGCCGCCGCCGCCATCTCCCAGCTCAGCTCGCGCCTCCGCCTGCCGCCGCGCATGCGCATAAGCATCCCGCGCGCCCCTTCCCTGCACATGCACCCCCACCCACCAACACCTCCACCCCTCACGCGCGCGCTCCCGCCAGCCTGAGAGGACGCGTGTCCAGAGCGAGCGGCGGGGTCGCAGGGAAACAGCACCAGCTCTCGCGCATGCGCTCTTGGGCATCAACGCGGCCGGCGTGTTACCTGGAGCCCGGCAGGAGTTGGCGGGAGCCGTCCACCGACCGTGAGAAAGAGCCGGAAAAGGGGGCTGGAGGTGTCACACTGTGCCTTCCCCTGGATTGAGTGGCGCTTCCTGTCCTGGGGAACTTGGGGGTGGGGGGTCGGGAGCGGGCCTCTCCGTGTAACCTCAGTGCATTAGCTGGTAGGCTTCGTGGGGACAGGCCTCTGAGATGAGCCACTCCAGTGTGACCTCAAAGGATATTTAGGAGTTGAAAAGGCAAATGAGCAAGGGTCGTCAGAGGTGGAAAGTCAAGGAAGGATATAGAGAAAGGATGCTGGGTGATGAGGCCGGATTGTGACAGTCTCCAAGGCCAGTTAGAGAGAGTGAAAACTATCCAGATGGCAATGGGAACCATCTGGAATTCACGCTGAGTCCTGGTCCCGCTTGACAAGAGCCTCAGGAAGCCTACTTGGAAAAGATGGAGGGTGTGTCAGGGCTGGCCTTAAGCCAGCTGGATGTTAGCCTCATCAGGTCCTGGGACAGTGACCTTGGGGATGGAAGTAGTTGATATTACTCAGAGATCTTGAGCTATGGTTCTCAGGGACTGTCTAGGTTAGGAGCTGCAGGCCACCTCTACATTAACCTGAGAGCTCACCATGACAACACTTTTACAGTGTTTGTACATATTTCTCAGTGATATGTCTCATGGCTTCTCACATAAGCCTGTGCTTTCCTGAGAGAGAATACTTCCTAGAAGATCCAGACTACATTCCAAACAATTCCTGGCTTTGTAAATCATGGCTGTGTCCCGGAGTACACTTCGACCTATTTTGCAAACCCATTTAATTCTTCCAATGATGAAGAATGCACCAGATGTGTGAGCAGTTCTGACCTGAACTGGAATAATCCAGGGATCAGTAGGCACCGATAGCCAGTCTGAAGGACCAACCCTAACTGAGTGTTCTCTATACACTCAAACTGCTACTTCCAGCCTCTGGGAAGGAGTTTCCACGAAGTCTGACTGGTGGAGACTGCCTGGGTTGACGAGAGCCTCTCCACCTGTCCAGAGGTCCTTGCTGTGTTTCCTCCAGTGCTGCAGGATGTTTTTATCAGCTTCCTGAGAGTCCACATCTAGGCTCCACAAGGACTCACATCTCAGCCTTCCCAGATGGAAACTTGGCAACTAACATGGACTCACCAGGCCTCCATTGCCCAGTCTGCAAAATTATAATCTACCAGTCCTTCTAACATAGGGGCTAGAAGGGCTGCAAGGGTGAAGTGCCTGATGTGGCTAAAACAAAGACAAGTACCTGGCATACACATGACCAACTTATATTGTCTCCAGTGAGTTGTCTGGGCTTCAGAGTGTTGATGCACACCTTTTCTCCTAGAGAGGAACATGACTATAGGCAACAGGAGCATGCTAAGGACCTGACCTTGGCCCCACCCAGCCTCTGTGTCTTCACAGATACACCAGTCAGGTGCGAGCTGGACTGCTTGCAGAGAAGGATGTTGTTTCCTGTTTTTATAAAAGTCATAGGAGCTATGGCTTTCCGCAGATTTAAATCGGCATGTCCCTGGTTCCTATGGGGGTAATTAGCCCTACCCAGCCACCAGGTCTGGGGAATTGCCCTTCGCAGAGCAGATTCCTGCCTGTTAGCTGACCCCAAAGTCTCTGCTGCCTTGGTGCAGACCCAAAGGAAGCACAGCATAGTGGGCTCAAGAGGATCGGGAAGGATGGGTGAGTATGGGTGCCCCTACCTTCCCTTCAAATTCTCAGTTCCATGTCTTCCAAGAAAAAAAGTCCCCGGGAATATGCCCGCCCTATCTGCATCTATTCTGGCATTCAGACTACAGGCTCCTGTTGGCCATTGGATAGTGCTTGTGTCTGGTTGTCTGGGCTCTGACAGTCTCATTTTTATTCAGAGTCCTAGGGTTGTTTTCTTTCTCTTGGTAAAACTAGGGACTCCTCAACAGCAGGATCTTGTCCAACTTGCCCTGTGACCTGGGCTGGTCTTTAGCAGGACCTCAAGGATTGATGTTTGGTCTGAGTTCTCCATGGTGCTCTGAGCAGCACGCTTATTGACACAAGTTATGCGATGGCTATCGTCTGACAGATTCCGGGTAGCTTGGGAAAAGCTCTGAAAAATCAGACTTTCCATGCTAACTTATGTTATGATCTCCCTTTTTTGTATAATTGTAATATCAAAATATTCTGAGCATCTTTCAGCTTACAATTGGATTGCCTCAGCCGCATAAGGCCTGCCTGCCCTGACAAGCAAGCACTGCACCAGGGTGAGAAATTCCTCTGAAGTCAAAAGTGACTTAACACCTGGCTGATCAATAAAAGCAAAAGGGCTGTTTCTGCAAAGTCTCTCACTGCAGGACGGAGGAAAACCCAAATCTTATCATTCTACTATCTCACCTAGCCTCTATTCAGCTTCTCAGAATTACTCAAACTTCCTACTGTCTGGCTTTAGATATGGAAATTCATCCAGGTTGCCTGTTTTAGAGCTAGTCAAGTTTTTTACCTGCTACACTTCAAAGCAATCCACAAAAGTCTTTCTGGCTAGTCTTTCAGGCTTCTACTATCTAGTCTTTAGATAAATTCACCCATGTCTCCTATTTAGAGCAAATTACACTTTCTACTGTCTG